AAAACCCCTCCCTGCCCTCACTGGTCTAAGCAGCTGGGAGCATTTCCCCATCAGCCTTAGCCTTCCCCTAAAAACAGCCAGGCGTCCTGTGGCCCCCTGCAGATGAACAGATTTCTCAGGGCATCAGCTTTCGTGGGTGGGAATCCGCTTGGCCGGTGACAGCTGACACCCAAGGGGCCACGGGACACCCCGTTGTTGAGGACACAGACTATCCTGGCTCCCCCTCTCCTACTCTCATGACCCTCCCTCTGGCTCCGTAAGGGACAGTCCTACGTAGGCACTTGGCCGATTGTCCACGGAAGTGGACGGGAGTCTTCAGGGAGCTCAGATGGGCCCAGCAATAGGAAACTCACCGAGCCTTTGAGTTAAGTTTCTCTGCCCAGAGGGCGCACCAGGAAGAGCCGCATCTGCCTCCAGAGCGGGGCGCCGTGTCTTTGTACCGTGGCCTGTGCACATCGCTTGACATGCCAGCGTCTGCCTCGAGGCCCCGGCGCTTTGAGCTGCGGGGGAACGGCCTGGTGTTACTGCGGGGCCGCTCCAGCTCGACGGGCTGCGGGCGGGTCCTGGGGGCTGGTTAAACAGCACTGGCCGCGTTCCCGGCGTGACTGGGCCTTACGGCAGCTTAGTTCCCGCTGTCGGGTTTCCCGTGAAGCTGAGCTCGGCGGGCGATTCTCAGCCTGGTGGCTTTTGGTTTGTGTGGGTCTGCTGCTGTTCTACAGCCAGTGAGCTCTGGGCCCCTGCCGTCAGCTGTGTCCCCGTGTCTGTGGGAAGCTGCACCAGCCTCCTCCCACAGCTCGCTCAGGGTGGAGGCACGATCCAGCGCTCGGGATCCCGCTGCTGCAGCCCGGGGCTCCTCCACGTGCAATATGCTAGTAGCTCTAGTCTGGGGGGCAAGTAAGGGATTTTGCCCTTTTGACTAGACACTAGATTGGGCCCCCAAAGTGGATTCTACTTGTGCTGTGAAATGGGGTGTCCCCGTGTTCCCTTGAAGCTGGGCGGCCGCTCAGGAGAGATTCAAATGCCACCTGGCTGATTCGCAGAGGGAGGTTTGTGTTTCTGCTGGTGGTGCACATCCGCACCTGCCTTGGTGCATGTCACATTATTCCGCACATGGGTGGAAACGATTATCGGGGCCATTGGTTGTCATCCCTGTCTCTAGCGGCGTAAGGGCTGCTTGCGGCCCAGCCTGGGCGTTCCTCGCCAGGAAAGGGGGAACGGAGCTCTCAACCCGCACCGTTGCGCCTCCTCCGGCCCTTAGCCCACCGTGGGATCCGTCAGCCTGGCTTCTCCGCATCCCTCCCCTCCCAGGAGAGGAAACCGGCCGTGAGCGGCGGCGCGCGGGGGAGGCTCCGGGGAGCCGCTGAGGATACCCT